CCTGGGAGGTTTAGGTTGCCATGAACTGTGATTGTGCCACGGCCACTCTAGTCTGCGTGATAGAGTGATACCCTTTCTCAAAAGTAAATAACTCAATAAATAAATAAGTGCATGGATGAATTAACACAAAACTATGAAAAGTCTATTTGTGTAGCTCCAGACTGGTAATGTAAGGACCTCTGCAGATCCTTCTTCCCAGCAAAACCACTATAACTAATAAAAATTATTATTATTTTTTTAAAAACAGCCATTTAAAGTATCTGAAAATTGTCTGAAGTGTATACAGCAAATGTAGAAACATTTATTCAAGAAACTCTACTAAATTTTTATAAGAACACCAAGAGACTTGAGCCACAACCAGCTTCCTTTCTTCTCTGCTCCATGCTCAAGATGGAAATTATATTCTTGGTAGGTACAGCCAAGTGCATGGGCTCTCTCTCTCTCCCCAGTTCTCAAAGACTACAGTATCAGTCCCAGAATGAACAGCTACCAACATTTCTTATCCCCACTTCCAGCTCTATGGTTCAGAAGCTCCATTATAGGTAACTGCAGTGGAGTGGTCAGGGGCTCCCTGCCCATGAAATCTGTTGGATGGCAGGTATGAGGCGTATATTGAAAGTTGGGTGGCAGATGACAGAAAATCTGGTTGTCAGTATTTATGTGCCCCTGTTTGAATGCTACTGAAAACTCACTAGAGAAAATACATTATGCACCATGAAAGAATAGCCTTTTAAAGTAGGCACTTAAGTTTCACTGTTAATCTTGGACCTATGGCTGAGAGGTAAAACTGAAACTGCTAGTTCTCTTTGTGAGCTTAAAAATTAGTCATTTCAACTGGTCATAAAAATCTCTTACTTTTCATCCTAGGGATAGTTAGTCCAGACAGACAGATATTAAATTCCAAGTTACCTTAAATTTCAGAGTTCCTGTTCAGATTGACTTATACATATTAATAAGTACCTATATAATTCTAATTTAGAGAAATAAAGAATCCCCAGAGAAGAAAACACCGAATTTCTAATACTTTGACTATGTCTTTAAAAATCTCATTCTCAAGAAATTAGTAACCTAGAAGCATTTTTATGTATTAACAAAAGTTCACACAAACCAAATCATGGGAGATATCAAACAAGTTTGATAATTTTGGCTAAAAGAAGTTTTATGATAACCATAATGAGATACTACTTCATTTCCATGCAGTATGATGGCTCCTAATCAAAAAGACAGTAACAAACATTGACAAACGTGGAGAAATTGAAACCCCCATTTACTGCTATGCAGCTGCTTCGGGAAAATTTGGCAGTTTCGCAAAAGGATAAACATAGAGTTTTCATGTGACCCAGTAATTCCACTCCTAGATACATAAACATAAGATTTGACAATGTATGTTCACCAAAATATCAAGAATTTTGTCCATACTCCTTAGCTTTGTGGAAGTTGTTTCTACCATAGCCCTTTCCTTATACTAGAAAAGGCTACTTTTCTATACCCTTGAGCAGCTCCCATAGTCCTACTGTGAATCCTTATTTAATACTGATTTGAAAAATTATAATTTATTGAAACAGATGTTATAACTGTACTAAAAGATGATGCAGGATGGTATAAAACCAAGACTAACCAGGACTTTGATAATATGCAATAGTACACAATATGCAATAATCATATGAAGTTTAAAGAATAGTAATGCTGAATGCAAGATGTTAAAACAGGCTAGCAAATCTCAAAAACAGGCTAGCAAATTTCAAAAATAGATTTGTAATAAAAAATTCACAGCTTTCTGAATTATCTTCCATAAAAGTTTCTGCAATGTGATGTTTTATTCCTCTCTAGGATAAGCTCAGCAAAACCAGACAACTTGTGAAATTTAATCACCCAAACTGCCAAATGAAAGTTCTCTTGATATATTCTAAACTTTTCTTATTGATATATTTATCTATATTTATAAACTTTCTATACAGACTTATGTTATTTTTCTGGGAAGAATTTCAAAGAGAACTTTTGTCAGAGAAATCTATCAAAACTTTCAGATGAAAAGAAGAAAACATAAAAGTGGGTCCAGGCAAACTCTTACAATAACTTTTTCAAAAGATTGAAGGTTGTAAATTAGAATCATATGCTTCATCATGCCAAGAGCTAAATATGGATAACTCTGAGAAGACTTTTCATAATAAGAAAAAATATTTAATGCAATCATGCAAATCATTTTAAAAATGGTTATTATTCTTTGTTGCCTTTAATGCTAGCCAGAGAAAAAACAAATCATCACTTTGATATTTAAAGAGTTGAGTCTGAGAGTAATGTTTTTTAAGCTGTTAAGAATCAACCATCCCACAGACATCACCTTATAATACAGCCAGCTTCAAATTCAGTTGGCACTGTACCATTCAAGCCAACATCCTGTTCCATCCAAGCCAATTCCCACCTTTTATAATCTTTCTATAAAATCATATTTATTTACTAACATATCATTTAGTATGATGTCTTAAACATCAATGGATAGTTATGAAAAACTAGTTGAAAAATTTTAACTTTGTCAATTTAGTGCCTTGTTATTACTTTGATATAAAAATTATTTTGTATATGTGATACTTAAAAGGTAGGTATGTTCAGCTTTCATATTTTGAAAGAATAAGAAAATAGTAAGGTTCTGTTTTTCAGAGTAATGCTAACATTTATTGTAGAATAATCTTAACTTATAAAACCTGACACTTTCTTTCTGAAAATATAGATTAACTAGAAACATAGCAAGTTCATTTTAGTTGCTATAGTCATCAACAAATCGTCCCTACTAAAAAAAAATAGTGATGAAAATTTACGGGAAATCCCCAAGGAATTAAATTTGCAGGACTCAATTCAGTTGGCTTAGCAGCAGCAAAGTGTTAAATATTATCAAGGGAGCTATCTAAATTCAATCCTCTGCCACCAAATAGTAAAACAAAGATAAAAGTAGTTTAAACAGGCTATGGGAAATTTTACAGTATTGCTATATATTTAGGCTTCAAGGAGGGCTTTTAATGAAGTAAAAAATATAATCATAATTTTGCCAAAGAGAGTATGTACTTGACAACATCATTTTCTTTTATCAACCATTACATATGTCCATTACAAAGTCATTCTTTATGACAGCAATTTTCTTTACAAGTAAACACAAAATCTTCCAAATTATTATTAGATATGATTTAGGCTGAGGATGAAGTTTTAAAATAAAATATTGCTGATATGGAAAATATGACAATACTTTTGCTGGACTTAACAAAGGAAATATTTATAAATTAGCTATTCTTAGGACTTCATATCACATACTCCTTTATTTTAATCACAGCTCTTCACCAATTTAACAGATCAAGTAGAATTTATTATTATTATATTGATCAAGATGAAGATTACCTTTAGAAAAGTTTTATTCACCCTTATCTCTCTTCTCTTTCCACCCATGCCAACACCACACACATATAAATTATGATTTCTCTACTAAAAAATAAAAGAGATCAGAGGAATAGGGAAAGAACCGGCAATGAAATATTTCATTTAATAGTCAGTTATGCTCTTTAACATGGCTAAGACAAAATGTGGCTTCAGTTTCCCTTGGCTAGAAAGGTCATTCATTGAACTCCTTCAATAGGCTAAAATGGTTTTTAAAGAAATTATGACAGAGTACTTAAAAATAAAGTGATAGATGTATGCATTCTAACCAAAGTGAAGAAAATAATTGAAAGTGATTATATTTTACAGGTCTTTCCACTCTATTTTTAGTCTGAGTCTACAAAACCCACCTGTATTCTCATTACACTATAATCATAACAAGCACAAATAACCTACCATTATGGGAAGTGCTGTCAAAGGGATAGTGAGTTTGGCCAGCCCTACAGGACAGCAGTTTAAATTTCATCACCAAATCTGCCTAAATGTCAGCATTATTTACTTATACTTTTACTCTTTAAAAGGAACTTAAAATTACCCACGTTTTGACTGTGGACTCATCCAAAGTAATAATATTGATAAAATTGGCATTATAATAATATCCCCTAAAATTATCCCACATACAATCAATGGCACAGGCAAAAATAAGTAGCAAAAATAGATTACCCTATATGATTTTTCAACTCTATTTCTTTTTCATAGAAAAAATTGATGAGCATATACTAGCATAAGTTTAAAAACACAGATTAATGTTCAATTTAATGTCATGCTTGCTAATTATGCACTGCAGGGTATCACATAAGCTATACAATTTTTGAACAAAGGCAGCTCAGTTGATATATTGAACCTGAAATACTCATTGTCTCAGTCTCATATTCGTAGATTAATGAGCTGTGAGGAAGTTGTAATTTACACCAAATGAAGGTGTATAGTATGTATACCAAGGAAAGGCTGACTGAAGAGTCTACTTGGAGCCTATCTTCCCAGGCACAAACAGCCTCTGTGGTTTCTACAGCTGATAAGAGTTAAAAGTGACCTTTTACTCTCCTAACAAGTTATTCATATGCACAGGAGAGAAGAAAAAGGCAAAATGTGGTTCAATATGACAACTCTGCTACTTGTGTTCTATGGAAAAACGATTATACTTTGGCCTCTTTACTTGCATTTGATCCATTCCCTCTATTAAGTGCTTTCCATTCCTTCCACAATAAAGTTTCAAATCACCTGCCTTTGCATGCTGAAAATGGTAGAGCCCATTAGAATTTATTGTTTCTGAAAGTAGTTGGAATAATCATCAAAACTCAGAGTTAAGCAGATAAATGAGCTTGCAATGATATAAATTATATTAAAATTTCACTGTCATCATGAACTCAAACTATCCAGACTTCATCTATTAATATCAAACTCTGTAATAGTCTTAAATGTTCATTTTTTTTTTCATGAGAACTGGAAATGAGCTCTTCCTAGTATATAATTTCTTTGTGAAATATAGTTATTCACAACACTAGGTGCAACATTCACTTAATAAAGTTCACAACAATACAAGAACAAATATTAGAAAAGAAAGTATGGATTCTAACCACTTTGTCCTCCTTTGGGAAAGCATCCAAGGAAGCAGGGTAGAGAAAGAAGAAAAAGAAGAGAAAAACAAAATTGAGCCATGTATTAATAAATTGGCTTTAAGAAAACAATTATGTGTTTCTTCAAAGTACTAAAGCACAACAATTTTGAAAAGTAAATGTTTACTCTCCCTAAAAATTAGTCATTGTTCAATCCTTCATTGAAAATGCCCATATTATGGGTCCTGCTATACGTTAGATATGAGTTAGGCAGAATAATTTCCTAAAATTTTAGAACTTGGATTAGTAAATCTAGATTTAAAATATTCTTCATAAAGAAGGTTAATTCACTACCACATGTAGTCTACCTATTATTGAAAAATATTTTATTAAAGTGCATAAAATTGTATGAATAATTTTGTCAAATTATTGTTAAAATATTGAGAGTCATAACTTGGGAAAATCTAAGAATGAGAAATGTTTGTAATAAATAAAAATGGGAAGAGAAATATGCTAACTATTTTGACTATAAACTATTCCACCGGCAATACTTATTTGTGCTACACATTTCAACATTTATGTTATAGAAAAAAAACAACTGTATACAGTGTTTTTGTCTTGTGTTCCAATTGAAATATCTTAAGATGTGTGCTTTCTTTTATTTTGTTCCTTTAAATATTTTTTCGAAGATTGGTTGGGTTTAGTAAAGATGAACTACACTGGGCCTGAGTGTCCTCTCCAAAGCGTAAGTACCTCCTAGGTCAATTTTCTTTAAACACCCTCTCCTTTTTAAGACCTGATGACTTTAATATATCAATCATTAACTGTATTGCTATTGACTTGTCTCAAAGCTCTAATGGGAAGTTAAAAGCATTTAACAGTTGTGGGTGCTTAGCCAGCACTAGCACTCAGCTGATCTGCACCTCATTGTTCACTGCCAGCATCTTTTCAGACTGAACAGTGTCCTTACCACATGGGTTGTTAAATATTTTGATGTTGCCTCCAAGTTTTACCTGTAAGAATGTATTTCAAAATAGTGTATTAAAGAGCACTATAGAAGGGGAAGTTAACAAATAGATCTTACATACTTTCTATGTGCCAGATACAACCTTACTACCCAAGCTTATTTTAGAAAGCCTGTAAGGTGGCATATGAGGATGGCTTGTAACAAATCACTATTAGGAGAGGAAAATAAAACTTATGCAGTCATAAGAATGGGACCCTAAAGAAAGATTAAATATACATATCATAAAGATCTAGATTTTAATTATTTTTATTAAAATTTCATAACCATACAAGGTAAATATTACTATCTAGTTTTCATAGTAAAGAAACTGTTCAGAGAAGTTCATTATCTTCCTAAAGCCACAGAGATAGTAACAGTCTCGTCTTAAAGTATAAGATATATCGATCAGCCAGGCACAATGGCTCACACCTGTAATCCCAGCCCTTTGGGAGGCCAAGACAGACGCATCACCTGAGGTCAGGAGTTTGAAACCAGCCTGGTCAACATGGTGAAACTCTGTGTCTACTAAAAATACAAAAATTAGCCAAGTGTGGTGGCGGGCACCTGTAATCCCAGCTACTCGGGAGGCTGAGGTGGGAGAATCACTTCAATCCGGGAGGTGGAGTTTACAGTGAGCTGAGCACCACTGCACTCCAGCCTGGGTGACAGAGCAAGACTCTGTCTCAAGAAAAAAAAAATAGATAGATAGATAGATAGATAGATAGATAGATAGATAGATAGATAGATACATGATACTCAGTGTCTTAAGTCCATTGGAATAAATTTTAGAATATCTGACTTATAACTCAACTAGACTACTAAAGAATATAATGTTTATTGGGAGATTTGTTTTAAATTTAACTGTAATATGCAAATTAGAGAAATATCAAGAGGGCTTAAAGATTTCATGTTATTTTTAAACATGACCTTGTATTATATTATAATGTATTAATGATTAGATAATATGACAAATTCTTTACAGAAACACTGGGAATTCATTAGCTACATACTTGTAACTGTTCTACATTAAGCTGCAGATCTCTATTAAGGAAAACTCAGATTTCCCTATAAATAATTATACTGTACTATTTTAGAGAATATGATAAAGTATAACATTAAAATGTATTCTAAACTAAATATTTATTAGAATTACTCTAGTATTTCATAAATAATAATATTGGTTCCTACCATATTAGCATCTTAACGCTTCAAAAATTGCATTTATTTAAAGTACTGGCATAGGAGGAGTAGCTCTTTTTTAAGCCAAATAAGGAAACATCATCAGGTGAGAATATATCTTATAGAGAAGAAAATGAGAAGTGCAAATCTCAATAGTTTTTAAATATCTAAATAATTTCCATGAAATAAGCTTGGAACATGTCAGTAAATCTGAATTTACTCTCATAGAGGCTAATCATTGCTTAGTATATGACATTCAGTTATTTTGCATTTCATGTGCATTCAATCTGAACACTAATGTTACAGAAATCAAAAGTAATTAGCTTTTTAAAAAGAATTGATCATAACTTTCAAGAGTTTTATAATTCATGATAACATTAAATCTACATTAACTGCATTTTTCAAAAACTAAATGCATTCTCACAGGTAATCTGTTGGTTTTGAATTGGAATCATTTATTAAGAAATACAGATAAAGTAACTTCTTTTTAGGAATTATTTTCATCAGCATTCCACTACCTTATTAAGGACATGAACAAAATGAGGGAGGTTAATTTTAATGTGTATGTTTATGCACATGTTTGCTTTCTAAGATGCATGTGTTCTCATGTTTGGAAGGCATAATAGTTTTTGTCCACATTCACAACGCCCCTTATGTTCATGGAATACTCACGTTGTTTGACCGTAGAGACACGCGGCCTCCGCAGCGTGCACAGAACTTAGTGCGACAATAGGAGCAGAGATGACCGCACCCATCAGCAAACTTTGTTTTATGACAGATTCCACAAGTTGGAGCATCGTCTTTGTGCTCGCCCTGGTAACGCCGTGCTTCTTCCCCTATTTTTCTCACTTGTTCTTTATAGCTTTCAAACTGTTGATGCAATCTCCTAGGCAAAAGAGAAAATGGTAGCAAACTAAGTAAATGGTGGAAGACAAAACCAGAACAAACAAAACAAGGAATTTTTCTAACAAAAAGGAAGCATAGCTATTTGAACTAAAGCAAAACATACAAGCTATTTTCCCCACTAACCTTACCTTCAAAGGTAGGATATATACTAGCATGATTCCATAATCCCAGTTTTGCTCATTAGCACTGAACTATGTGTATGTAGAATCTATATAAGCACTGTTTATCGCCAGCAGTGAAATTTGTGTAGCTATTCCCTGCCTCTGTTTCTTTTAGATTTTTCAAAATATTTCAACTGAGAGCTTAACACTTTACAACTACAGGCATGTGTGCATATAACTGAAACAAAAATCACACAAAATATTTAGCCTAAATACATACGATGTGCTCCAATATTTTCTATCCTATTCTAACTTTAATACTGAATATAATTCAAAAATAAGTTTGTCACAGTAAATTGATTCCATGACCCAGTATTTGAGCATGATGCATACTTTGAAAAATATTGTTTTAGACTATGTTGCTGGGCAATCTGTCTTCTACAAAATAGATTCCTTTGCCCCCATTCCTGGAAGCTACTTACCTATTTGGCATCAAGTATCTAATTTAATACATTACACAGAATGTTAGCTTTTGCATTATATTTGAGTTCCTAGTTCTTCCAGTTCACACTAAAAGTTCTAAATCTTACCTTGTAGACATGCAGATTTTTACATAGTCCAATTTTTCATTATTTTAACCAGGTAATATGTATGAAGCTTGCTAGCAACCACTCCTGATTAACTACCGTCTGTGGGGACAGCTAAAGTTGTCTAGGGAAACTTCCCATTAGAATGTTCACATTTAATGTGATTAAAGTCTCCTCCCATCACCATCAGTTCAAATTCCAATCTTAAATCTCTATAAATAGAACTGTTTGCTGTTCTGAATAGAACACAAGAACATCCAGTGAATCCCCCAGTGGAAGGATGTCTTGGTTTTGAAAATGAGAACTGAGAGTTGTCCTGAGCCTAGCCAATAGTTATTGGCTATTTTGCCAAAAGAGGGACTCCTGCTCAAATTTATCTGGGTATCTGAGCTAGTTTTCCGGATTTGAGTATTCCCTAGAACACAGAGTACACGGATGCTTTTGTTAATTCAGGCAGTTAGTCTCATGTTCTCAATCTAAGATAACTGTGAGGAACTGATACTCCCTGGAAATAGAATCAAATAAGTTAGGTCCAGGTACTGCAGTGTTTGAGGTATTGAGACTTCATTATATTTTCTTTTTAACCTTAATAGTTCTTAAGCAGAACTTCTGTGATTACCTTAAAAATTCTCAAATCCCTTTGCAGCTTTGCCAGCTGACACCTTTTCTATTTAATTCCAATAATTAAAGCAAACATACAAGCACCAGCACATAACAGTGTAGTTTAGGATCTGAAATATTTCCCAATTAAAAGGCCAGCTAATTTCACTTTACAAAGGAATATATGTGTTATTTCATTTAATGAATGCAAGAATACCTGGTCAATTTATTGAAGAGTTATTTGATACGTTGATGTTTTTATATTTTAAGTATAAAAACTAGGGTCAAGTTAGTAGAAAACAAGTGTGGGCATTTGTTATTTCAAAAGTTATCATGTAAAATTGCACTGACAATCTTACTTCTTCCACTAAAGAAAATAATTTTAAGGAAGGGCTGGACGCAGTGGCTCATGCCTGTAATCCCAGCACTTTGGGAGGCCGAGGCGGGTAGACCACGAGGTCAGGAGATTGAGACCATCCTGACTAACACGGTGAAACCCCGACTCTACTGAAAATACAAAATTTAGCCGGACATGGTGGCGGGCGCGTGTAGTCCCAGCTACTTGGGTGGCTGAGGCAGGAGAGTGGCGTGAACCCGGGAGGCTGAGCTTGCACTGAGCCGAGATGGTGCCACTGCACTCCAGCCTGGGTGACAGAGCAAGACTCCATCAAAAAAAAAAAAGAAAAAAAAATTAAAATAATAATAATAATAATAATTAAGGAATGGGAGCAAGGAAATATTTCTAACCAAGGAAACTCCAAGCATAGAGGGATTACATAAATAAATACTTATTGTGAGAACTACCAAATCAAATCCATTTAAGTAAATATAAATGAGAAGGTGAAAACTAGGCTAAGGAAAGTTTCCCTATAAACTTATTCTAAAATATAGAACATGATGGAGTACGGGTGTTGGCAAACTTTTCGGAAAAAAAGGCAGATTGTAAATATTTTAGACTTTGAGGGTCATGTAGTTTCTTTTGCAACTGCTCATTTCTGCTGTAGCAGGAAAGTAGCCACAGATAGTATGTAAATGAATGAATGTAAATATGCTCCAGTGAAACTTTATTTACAAAAATAGATAGTAGTCCAGATTTTGCCCATAGAGCAGTTTGTCAATTCCAGATTAGTATGTGCTTTATGCTAAGATATAATGGCTTGAAAACCAAAGCCTCTGCGTGTTTTTAAATTCAAACATAAAGGAATTTTATATGACCCAATCAAAAGGGAACTTGTTTCAGGAAATCTTTGTACAATATATACATGCAGGGCACTGACCACTGAGAGAAAACCTTACTCTATTACAATCTCATAGCATTTCATCTGGGTCACTTATAGACCATTTAATATTTTTACTATGTTTTATTGTTATTTCTGTACTTAACACCTCTCTTCTATCAAACAGTAAACAATATTAGAAGTCCACAGTTTAGCAAACAGTTCAGACATATACTTCTCATATTTGCTGAATGGAAAATTTATACATATACGTATTACTTTTCTTAGTCTGTTTTGAGAAAAAAAATCCATACAATTTACAAACAAGTTCATATTGAGGACAAAATATCCTAATACACCCTACTTCACAAAACATTGAAAATTCTGGGTGTAATATTTAAAAATATAACTTTTAATGTACATTTGAGCTGGAGAGAAAGTATGCAAAATTCTCAAAGGACAAAAATGAAAGAGAAGCAGTAATTCAGAAAAGTAACATATCTCTGAAGCAGATGCTAGAAACATGTACTGAGGTTCTGTGACCAAGAACTTCAGTTTTAACTCTTGTACAAGTGATTGAAAACAAAATTTTAGTTAGGTATTCACCAAAAATAATTGAAATAGAGTGCATGATATCCAAACCAGTAGCAGACAAAATATGGAATGAGAAAAAAGTCAACCCAAAGAAGATAAGAATTAAAATAAATAAATACATAAACATAAACAAAGCAGAACAATTAATTATGACAGTATGAAATGGTAAAAAAAAAAATCTAACACATGAGGAATCACAAGTATTATACATTAAAAGAAGCATCATCAAAAGACAAAGATCATCACATTAGATTTTTAAAATCCAACTAAATGAAGTTCTGAAGCGATATACTCACAACATAAAGGCACAGAATGTTTGAAATAAAAGGATAGAAAAAAGAGATCCCAGGGAATTATTAAGAAAAACAAACAGAAAAGCAAACAAACAAAAACTGGTATAGAACTTAAATTTAAAAGCATTACTACAGAGTGTAAACTTCTATTAAAAAGTGTTCATTTTATTTTTTACACGACAATTATAAACTTAATTGCATATAACATATGTGTATCTATACAGTAGATTAAACTCACTTGTTAATCTTGTTGAGTTCTCTGTGTGTGTGTATATATGTATATACGTATACATACACATGCTTTTATACACACACACACACACACACACACACATATGCTTAACACATATCTAAACTTTTCCCAAACTCTAGGCTTCAAAAGTACTAAAATCATTTTATTTCTTAAGCTGGTGGAGGAGGGGTTACATGACATAGGTTTTACTTTTTGTTTACACCTTACATATATGTTTTATAATACTGTTTTGTATGTATGAACAATTTAATATTAGAAAGAAAAAGATTCATTTCTAGCTCATCAAATAGCATTGAACAACAAATCAGGGCTACATAGAATTGAAGGTCTCCTGGCTGTGACGTGGGTAGGCAGCAACTTTTCCTTTTCTAGTTGGTCATGGCAAATGAGCTGGTTGGATGAGACTTCTCCAATGAGGTATGACAGTGAGATCTCTAGCTTCTCACTTTCTCCATGGGGGATCTTGGAGTAGGTCCTAAGGAAGACAGCCACCAGGGGACAGTGTTCTTCCCCCAGAGGGACATACCTAAGTGACCTGGGGCAGCTTTTCACCAAGTGCTTCCTCCCAAAGTTCATGAGGCCATTCACACAGTCATCACTCCAAACTCTACAAGGAATCACATCCTTCTGAATGCTGGCCCTTGGTGAACTTTACCCATCTATGCCTTCCTCTCATGTGCTTTAGAAATTTAGAAATTCCTTTTTCGTTTTCAGCAGCAGTCCTTGTTTAAACTACTAGTATAGACATCCCAGTAGGGAGTATAATGAGAGAAGAAAGAGATTGCTTTTTCTCTTAATCTTCAAATATTTTTTCTTTCTGGGTTTTTTCCTTTACTTACAGATAAGATTCCCTTATTCTGCTCTGGAAGAAAAAGCCCAACTTAGGTCCCTGTCAATTTCTCCAACTTATTTCCTGGGATGCTCCTTATTTTAACTGCAGACATTATGGAAGGAAGGAAGGAAGGAAGGAAGGAAGGAAGGAAGGAAGGAAGGAAGGAAGGAAGGAAGGAAGGAGGGAGGGAGGGAGGGAGGGAGGCAGGGAGGGAGGGATGGAGGGAGGGAATTCCTCACTCCCACATCCTTAAAATCTACCTACTCCATAACCTGCACTACCCTATTAAATTGTTCTCTTAAAATACAACCTTAATGCCCTTTTCTCAATTCATATTCCCCTTACATTACTCTGATATCTCATGCTGTCAAGATGCTGTCCTCATAATAAAATATGCCTTTGGAAGCAAGATACTGGTAGTGAAACCATAAACAGCATATTTATTTTTTGTATCTGATGTTTTAATGCTTTAATCTATATCAAATTTGTGACAGTGTTCTATT